CATCTTTAGGAACTCTCATTTTATTAATATTCGTGTCTTCAATGCTTCAAACCATCCACAAACATTTGCTGGAAGAATGAAGGGAAGAGGGAGGGCTGTGAGGACTGGCAGTTGGGACATGGGCTCCAGTTCTGGCTCTGCTAGTTAGTGGCTGCGTGACTTTGAACAAGTCTCCTCAGTGCTCATGTTCTCATTTTCTTCATTTGTAAAACGAGAATAAAAATACAATCCTCCTTCTCAGGGTTATGGAGATTAAATGAGGTAACAGAGCTTACCAGCTGCCTGCCCTGTTTGTGCCCTGCCCTGGCAAAACAGCCTAGACTATTGTTCCTTCATTTGGATCTCATTTGCTCTCTCTCTCCTGGTGACAGCCAAACTGAAAACTGTGGCCTTGTTGGAGGAAAGATGTGCTGTAGTAGCATACATACTATCCAGGTGGCCCTATGTTGTTGAAGGGGCAGAAACCAACAGGGGGGATTATGACATGCTAGGGAGACATGCTTCTTTTGTGACTGCTTAATGTCAAGTGGTCAGAACCTCACTTTTATTCTCTACTCAAAGAAAACTAAGCTAGCATCAAAGTTGATGGAGGACCCAAAGTATCCAGAATGAGGCAGAGCAGATCTATATCATATGCTGATGAATCTGAAGAAGCCCTCAAACAATGCTTCCTAAGCCCTAGAATTTAGCAGCATCTGGAGGAATGTCACTTCTGTTAAGTCCACTCATTCATCTAATGTCATAATTTCTCAGTGTCTGGGGCTGATATGATTAACCCTATCATGTGGCTTCAAGTGTTTAGAAAGATGCAGAAAAGCAGATTTGGCATTACAAATGTTAAATAAAAGAAAGAAATTCTAGAAAGAGGAGGAAGGGAAGAAAGAAAATAATTATTTTTGAACACTCTGAGGAGATGACTAACAATTCCAAACATGCTTCTCTAGCAGTTCCTTTTTTAACATTGTAAAAGAATTTTTTTCCATCAAAACTTGATAGTCCCTGACTTAAAAGAGGTGAATAGATAGTAAGGCCCTGAAATCTACAGCTGAAAATCTGTACAGCTTTCCTGAGAGTCCCATTTACTAAGTGAGTTTATTTAGATGGGCTTGGCTGGATCACAAGAGTGACTAAGGAAAGACAAGGAGAAGGAGTAAAAAGGGCATATAGTGGAATTGCTTCCCAAAGGCTAAAATCTGTCCTGGTGTTAAACCTAGTGACCTTAAAAATAAGTAGTAAAAGTATATTTCCATTTTGCAAAGCTTATAAAAAAATATTGTGTGCTCAGATGGCACCTTTAATCACGAAGAACTTTTGGCTTGGTTCCAGGCTGATTCTGCTGGCACAGAGAACTCTGAGATCATACCCTATATTCAGTGCACAGAAGAAATATTTCATCCATCTCTGAAGTAGTGGGGGAAATGGAGCAAATCTGAACTGTTTCATAGCAAAATCATACTGGGATGATCACTGAAGGACATCCTATCCATTTGGAATTGCAGAAAGGTATTAATTCTAAATACTTATGTGGCTTTAAAAAACTTTTTTAGGTTTCATTATAAACTAAGCAGCTTCCATAAATGTAATTAATTTCTTATTTCACAGATATATAAATGAAGGCAGACAGATTTTTGTGATATATCTAAGACTGTTTTAAAAAAAAGAGTACAGAAAAATAAAAGGCAACTCCCAAGCAACATGTTGTGACCTAGGAGTTTGAGCTCTGCGAGCTGAATTTAATCCACAAACAACCAGGCCAAACATAATTCTCTAGGATGGAAGTGATCCAGAACATCAGAACTATATTCTCTACCTTTGCCAAAGAGTCTGAAGTGCTTTAGTGATAAGTGGTAACTAACCTCACTTTTAATTTTCCACTGAAAGAAAATTAAGATAGCACCATTTGACACTTTCCACCTGGTTGGGAATTGGTTCAAGATTATCAAAAGGACCCCATGTTTCCCCTTGATTCATCATTGTTTCTTGTGTCATTCTTTGGAGGTCTCCAATTCAAAAGTCTACTCAAATTGGATAGTTGCATCGGCTTTAGGTTGGCAAGGTTAAATCACAGCTTTATTTCAGTTGACAGTCTTGAGCACTAGTATAGTATACTATGCTTCTTCATTATATCTCCTAAAGTCTTAATTAGCTGTGGGAAAGGCCTGAATGATTGCTCTTGGTGTTAAAAATTGAACCCCCACTACTAAAATGGTGAAAAGTGGTTGAGACAAAAGCCACCATAAAAATCTGAAAGCCATTATCTTTTCCACACTTTGTCTTCATTCTTACTTTGTTTGGAAATACAGACACCTGTGAATAAAAAGAAACCAATTTACCCGTCACTGATTGTTGTTTTTTGAGTTAGAGCAAATGTAAATACTTCTAGCCCCCAAATATGGTGGAATAAAGAGACTGCTGAGAAGGTAGCCATAAATTAGAGTTGATCTTTCAGCATTTTCTATCTAGAGGAATAGTTCTGGAGATTAAAATTAATGTACTCTGTCTCAAAGTTGATCTAGACATTTGGATTTCAGAAATATAAGTAAACAAATCACAATCCTGGTATGTTTTCTTAGCATAACCCGGTCCATCTATACTTAACTATTTTATCTCCAATTCATACGGATTTCAGCTTTTAAAAAAAAGGAAAAGATCAACTAAGTAGTCAGAGCATCTTTAAAGCATGCAGAACCAGCTTAGATGATAGATGCTGAAACGTGGCAACTCTTCCACAGACGCGAATCAATGTAGCAGAGCTGTTCAGAGGTTTTGCCTAGGGCTTAAATCAGGTTGTCAACTCAAATACAATGGGCTTTGTTTTTCCTGTGTATAGAGGAAATGGAGCAGTTTTGGCTTTCCCAGACTGTATTGTAGGATATGTAAGCAGGATGGTAATTCCAGGCACAATCTCATGAAACACAAATGTGCTTTTGACTTTTCAGTGTTCCTTAGCAAGTTAATTAGCTATTACGGAAATGAACGGAAATATTCAGCATTTTCACACTGAAGCCTTTCTAGTAGCTGGGAGAGGGGTTGGGTGTTTGAGGAAAGGTTCTTGTAAGCGTAAGGGGAAGATTCTAACACCTACAATTTATGTTCATACCCCCCCCCCCGCCGCCGTGATTACAAGACATTTTTTGGTTTGAAGGTAGCTGAGACTTTTATCTATTTCAGGTGCGAGAAAAGGAACTGCGACATGCTTCCCTAACAAATGTCTAACTTTGCTTAAGGGTACTGGCTAAAGTAGTGCTGAGGGGGTCAGAGGGGAACAACGACCAGTACACCTCTTCCCTGTGCAGTAACTGTGAGGCAAATGGTTTTCCGACCCTTTGGCTTTAACAACTTAGCACAGGAGGAGGGGGCTGTCCCAGAACGGTGAAGAGGCCTATGGAGGAGAAAGTCGGCCTGGGGATCTCCCAAGGGCCAGAAGAGCGCGCACCCCATCAAGTGACAGCTCAGCCCCTCGCCGTCTGCTCCCCTCCCCCGCGGCCAGTCTCTGGGCAGAGGAGCCTTGTGCCGGCTCGGTCCTCCTCCGCTTTTCACTCGCTTGGGTGGACCGAGCTTCAGTGGGAGCCCCCGCCTGTCTCCGGGCAGCTCGAGCCCCCAAGCGTTAACCTAGCCTGTCAGTAACCGCCGTTTGCGCTCTATACCAACCCCCCTACCTTTTTCCCCCCCTCTATCCCCCTTCTGCCTTTGTCCCGCTTAGTAACTGGGCTCTGACCAATCCCCGTTTCACCGGCCGGTGCCGGCTGTCTCCTGATTGGCTCACTTGGGGCGCGCAGCAGTCTCCCGCTTCTTCGCTGGAGCAAGGCAGACAAAAGACGCAGGCTCCCGACTCCGGCAACCAGGATCAGCCAATCACCACCCACCTTATCCTTTCCGTTCCTCCCCCCCCTTTCTCCTTTCCTCTCCTCTTCCCCTCCTCCCCTCTCCCTCCCATCCGGGCTCGCGTGCTTCGGGCACTGACTCCTGGCGTGCAGCCAGCGCCCGGACTGTACCATTCTGATAGACTCTGGGAGGGGGGAGAGTAATGGCTGATTTCGGAGCTAAGAGCTAGACAGTGGTGAGGAAAATTAACAGTTGAGATGAAAGCTGCTTCATGAGCAGTTTCGAGGACTCTTGACAGGAATTTTCAGCATGTCGAGGCTGGATAGAGCGGAGGGGACACTGGTGATGTTAGTTTCCTCCCCCATCTGACGCGAGTGGGTGTTGCCTCAGCCTGAAGGGGGGGTGCTATAGGGGCGGGGGTGAGTGTCCCCTCCGCACGGTTAAAATGAAACTCTAGTGGCTAAAGCTCGGGCAGAGCGTGAGGGAAAGCCGGCACTGGCGGGCTTGCAGACAGCCGGGCGGGAGCGCCCAGCCGAGCAGAGCTGACTGGACTCTCTGATTCTCCAATTCCGAGGCTGCGGCAGCTAGGGTTTTGGGCCCGGCAGGAACCTAGCCCGACCCTCCTACCCTTTGAGAGGATACCTCTCCACATACTAGTGGGATCCCGAAACTTGAACGCTATCCTCGGTCTCCTTTTTTATACCTTTCTTTGTCACTTCTCCACTTTTCTTTAAACGCTTTCCCGTCCACCCCCCCGCCTGCCACTCTTCAGGCTCCCTTTCCCGAAGGACATAAAAGTGGCGTCCGTGGAAATATTTGGAGGCGGTGGGAGGCTTTTCTCTTTGGAGAGCGACTGTAGCGAATTTTTGGGACTCTGCTTTTCACACTGTAACCTCCTCCGTCCCGCAAAGCCTCTGTACCCTTTTGAGGAGAGAAGCGCATACCCTGAAAGTTCGAGAGGCATTTTGCTGGGTACTGTTAGGAAGGAGAGGGAGAAGACCCTGTCCTCATCCTGGACTTTTTACTGGCATTTGGAAGCCTCGAAGTACATTTCCGTGTGGGACTTTTACAGATACCTAAATATATATATATTAACATTTAAGAAAAGAACAGATATATTATCTCTCCATATATGTTCTCTATATATTTCTTGACGACCTGCCCCTGACAGCGCGATGTACAATACGGTGTGGAGTATGGACCGCGATGACGCAGACTGGAGGGAGGTGATGATGCCCTATTCGACAGAACTGATATTTTATATTGAAATGGATCCTCCAGGTACTTGGGAGAGGAGAAAAAAAAAAAATCGTGTGATGGGTTCTGTTAAGCAAGACATTGATAATGTTTTCCGGGCAAAAGTATTACGGGTGAGCGGAGATTCGGGTGGAGGGGCAGATTTCCAGTTAGAGCTGCAGTCAAGGGGTTCTGATTTACCCGTTTAAAGTTTGCAGTTAGGACCCTGCTCCTATTGTCCTGCGAGGGTGGGGGTGGGGGTTGGGATGGGGGTGGAAGGAGAGACCCGTTTACTTCTTTGCCTTTGCGTGACGTTTGGATTTTTGTCGTGCCCCCCATATCCCCCCCCCGCCCCCCTTTAAATCTAAGCCTCTTCAACCTGCAAGGGATGCTTTATAGTCCACTTCGACTACTTGGGTGCCAGGAAGCCGATATTTCCTCGTAGGGGAATTCTTAAAAGCCTGTCATTCCATATATTTGTCTAATTGGATTCGTTTTGCTTTATCTTTCTTAACTTCTGGAGCTGTGTTGCCTATGTGATGATTCGTTTTAAGACTTACCCCCCCCCCCTTTCCCCTACAGTAAGCAAATGCCGGTTAGTGATTTTCAAGGATTGGGCGTTCTTATTCAGTCATGGCCTTAGTCTGAGGTTTTTATCCTTAAGACTATAGCTCAAAGGAATCTTTGTGCAGTGTTTAATTAACTATAGTTTATGGTGATTTAATTTATGAGTCGGGGTTACTATTCTTCAGTTCTTAGAGTGAAAATGAATAAAGGGAGGACCTTTTTTGTGTGCTATATGTTATGTACATATATGTTGCATACATGTGTGTGATGGCTTGTATATTCATAATGTAAAGTATACATCACTGTATTTTTATTTTAGAGCATTGTCGAAGGTCCTTACAGACATTTTGTGTGTATATAGAAGGGAATGGAAAGGAATGAAAATGGAAAAGTTGGTTGATTTTTTTTTTCTTCCTGTAAAGTCTACCCCATTTTATGATTACTAGCTGTCAGATTTTGAAACCCTGCTTGCAGTTATAGACAGCACTTTAATGATTTTGAGTGAGTAGAGAGCCTTTGTGACTCCTTATTTTTATTGAGAATGAATTCGTTATGTTTTTTAAGCCTACAGAATAATTTTGTGTCTTTGGGGAACCTCATTTATTTTAAGACTGTATATTTTTGGAAAGGTTTAAAGGATTTGAACCGATGCAATTATAATGAAGTATAATTGTCTTATAAAATGTATTTAGAAATTGTTTCTTATGTCCTTGTGAACAGGGAATTATCCTGTCTTTTGTCTTTTTTTTTTTTCAGAGTGTTAAATGATGCTATTTTAAAAACTAGTAATATTGAATCAGCCCTTTTCATTCTTTGTGATCGCTCACCATTTTTTCTATTCCCCTCATTTTAGAACCCTTTTTTGCTTTTTAATTGTGATTGAAATCCAGATGCAGCTTTTCAGTGTTTTCCAAAGTTTCTAAGATTTGCCACCCATCTATTGTGTGTGCTTTTCCCTTTGTTTCTCCCTAATGGTAAAACATTGTTTCTATTAGATACATTTGTTATTCTTGTGAATAGAAATCTAATACATTATTGATACTCTTCTTCTAAAAAGTAAGGTTAATGATTCTAGGTATCTGATTATATATATATATATATATATATATATATATATATATATATGTATCCCACACATAAACTACCTTCTAATCATACTGTGTCATAAAGTATCTTGCCTTACAGATTACAAAGGGAACTTACTGGGTGGGGAAATGAATGAGGAGGAGGAGGAAAAAAAATCAAGAGTACTAATGATTGAAAAATTTCGGCCTAGTAGGAAAATACTGGCTTATACAAGTTGAGTTGAAAATTATTTAAGAAAAGTACACTATATAGAAAATTCTTAACCAAACTTTTTGTATTCCATAGAAATAAACTTTCGAGTTTAAAATAACATCCTTAAATAAAATTGTGCATACTTATATTCTACTCAGAATACTGACACTATGTATATGTTGTTCTTTATTACTCATTTTGTAACTTTATAATGTAGAATATAGCTATTCTTAATAGTGTTTTAAAAATGAAGCATACTTGCATGTGCCTGAGAAGTGACTTTTTAAATGGAGAGAATGTGAATGCCAGTCATGTTATGTATGATAAGCTTTTAAAAATTTTTAATTTTTTTTTTTTTTTTAATTTTTGTGTGAGTGTACCTTCAAATCACATCTGACTGGTACAGGAGATTGTCCCTCCTTCCCCGGCAGAGCATCTGGTGGATTCGAACTGTTCGCCTCTGGGGTTGTAGTTGCAGCTCCTTACCTGAAATTTTTAAAACTATAAGTAAATCATTAGTGGTGTGTTTGCTGCATGTTTTGCATTTTCCATTCCTCCAATTCCCAGTCAGGCTCTGGTGTGATATTACGTTGTCCTACCATACCTACCATCCCAAATTAAGAGTCATAATAAAGTATCATCTGGTAATAATACTACCATGCTTTAAAAAAATCTTTAAGTGGCTTTCTTTTGCCAACTGAGGGAGTATGTATGTGTAAAAGTGTAAAAAGATCAAATTTATAAAGATACTGAAAAGAAAAGGCAATAATAATGAAAACTCGTTAAGGGGGGTGGCAAGAGAGATTTGACTAATGTCAGGTCGGCCTTATGTTGTAGTTGTTGGATGTTGGAATGGAACCTGGGTTTAAGTTAGGGACTACTTGTACATTCTTCTCCTGCATTTAATTGCAAATTTTATGCAAGTTATTTTGTACCTGCTGTTTCAAGAATAAGGAACCCTGGTGGTAAGGTGGTTAGGTGCTTGACTATTTAACAAAAAAGTCGGTCAGCCTCATCAGCCAAGATGTTGACAGGTCTGCTTTCATAAAGATTTATAGCCTGGGAAACCTTATAGGGCATTTCTACTCTGTTTTAAAGAGTTGCTAGGTAGCAGTGGGTTTGGGACGGATCCCTTTATGCTTTCTTTCACTTTCTTGTATATGTTTAGGACCTAGTTACTAGTTAAGATGCTTTTTTTTTTGCCACGATGTGTTCCCTGAGCCCTTCTGTTGGAATTTCTTCACCTCTCCTTCTTCTAGTCTAGCACTTCTCAGTAGAGTTTCCACCATATAGAATAGCTATAATATTCATAGAGCAGTCTTCCCCCTGTGGAACAATATTTTCATCAGGTTATGAGCTTCTTAGTTGCTTACTTAGGGTCTTGGCAAATAGCGCTAAAAATGTGAACCTTGTAGGGGAGCTCTGATGGCCTGGTGGGTAAGAAGTCTTCTCAAAGGCAGGCATTTGATTCTAACAGTAACTTTGCTTATCCCCATGTTAAACAGTCTTCCACAGGCTATGAGTTCTTCACCTGCTTATGGTCTTGCAAGTGATAACGTGTCAGAATAGGCTTACATACAAGAATGATTGTGAGGATGGTGTATGATCACAAGGCTTTAATCTCTGTGAGTATGATTTGGCTTGATGGTACCTAACAACAACTACAACAAGGTGTTCTGTTTATTTTAGCCTGTAGGTGCTTGTTCTGCTGAAATCCTCTCCCACCTCATTCCTTGGCTTATTGTAATAGCTTAGAGTTAAAAGACTTTTGAATTAGACTTGCTAATTTAAGGCCTGTAGCTGTAATGGTGCCAGTATATTTTTATATTGTTTTCATTTTAAGAATTTTGCATTTAGTTTAGTTTGAAATTGATTGTCATTTCTTCAAATAACCTAAAAATTATTTTTCAGATGTATTTTACCTTTGGTAAAGACATTATTGTTGTTATTGTTATATACCGTAGAGTTGGAACTGACCCATAGCTGACTCTCCAGTGGGTTTTCTGTTAATCGCACAGGAGGAGATTGCCTATCATTCTCCCATGGAACAGATGGTACTTCAACACCATGCTGTCAGGATTGCAGCACAGCGTCTTGCCACTAGGCCACCATAACATTAAAATATTACTATGTTGTTGTTAGGTGCTGTTAAGTCAAGTAAGACTTATTATAGTGACCCTGTGAACAAAAGATATGAATCCTGTTCTATCCTGTTCCATCCTCACACTTCCTGATGCACAAGAGCCTATTGCAGCAGTCACTGCATCAGTCCACCTTGTCCAAGGTCTTCCTCTCCTTTGCTGACACCTTCACCCTTCCTAGTATCATGTCCTTCTTCAAGGAATATCCCCTCCTAGCAACATACTCAAAATAGATGAGACGAAGCCTCATCATTCTTGCCTCCAAAGAGTACTCCATTTGCACTCTCTCCAAGATTTACCTGTTAGTTCCTTTGGCGATCCATGGGATGTTCAGTGCTTTTTCCCAACACCACAGCTAAAAGGCATCTATTCTTCTTCTGTAATTCTTATTCACTGTCCAGCTCTCAGATGCATAGCAAGTGATCAGAAAGAATATAGCCTGAATCAGACAAACCTGAGTCCTCAAACAGACATCATTACTCTTCAATAATTTGGAGAGGTCACAAACTGCAGATTTTCTTAGTGCAGTGTGTCTCCTTATTTCCTGACTGCTAGTCCTAATGGTGTTAATTGTGGATCCAAGATGACTTTATTGACAGTTTCTTTCTCTTCTCCATCCATCATGACACTGCCTATTGGTCCAGTGCTAAGAATCTTTGTTTTCTTGATATTGAGATGCAATCCACACCAAAGGCTGTATTCTTTGATCTTCTGCAACAAGTGTTTCAAGTCCTTCTTTCAGCAAGCAAGGTTATATCATCTGCATAATGCAAGTTATTGGTAAGTCTCCCTCCAATCCTGATGTCACATTTCTCTTTATAGTGTCCAGCTTCTCAAATAATTTGCTCAGAATACAGATTAAATAGGTATGGAGAGAGGTTACAACTCTGACACACTCCCTTCTCAATTTTTTTAAATTTGTTAAAAAAATTTTATTATTTTTTGTGCATGTATCATCAAATCAGATCTGACTGGTACAGGAGGAAATTGCCCCTCCTTCTCCAGCAGAGCATCTGGTGGATTTGAACTGTGTACCTCTGGGATTGCAATGCAGCTTCT